ACAAAAAAAGAAAAAAACATTCTAACTAATATGTCTTTTTGCACTTCTCTTTAAATTATTGATTTATGTGCTTCCAAATGTTGCAGATTCCTTAAAAACTCTAATTGGCAAGTACCAACCAAACAATTTATCCATTGACATTGATAAAAGGGCGAAACATGGAAGATATTGATGTCTATTCAAATACCTTTAGGGTTGGTAGACTTGATTTTATACAAATCAAAGATGATAAAAACTAAGTAGGTCACATATGGTGGATGATGAGTTTTTGTTCTATTTATTTTGTATTTAGGTGGGGAGAAACTAATTTGAAAATTGTGGAAGTGTAACAAGTCTAATACTCTTTGTACTTTATTTTGTAATGTAAAATTTCAATTATGAATAGAAGGAGATATTTAACGTATTATGAAATGTTGTTTCATGTGCGTTGATTTAGCAAATAGTAAATTATATTTGAAAAATATCGTTGAGAAAAAATTTATACGATAAAAAATGTACTATTATCAAATGTGCATTATAATAATTATAGCATACTATATTATAGCTTTGAAAAAATGCTATTACAAGTTAATGATAACATAATATTTTAGTATATTTTCCTATTAGAGCTTTAATAAAAATGTTATAAAAGATTTTTCTTAGTATTATATATAAGCTATATATAGAATAGCATTTATTATAACTAAAAAAGTTTTAATAACATAGACACAATCGCACTTTTAGCGTTGTGCGGTACTCACTTTCCAACGACAAGCGAGCTTAGTCCGTTGTGCGGTACTCACTTTCCAACGACAAGCGAGCTAAGCCAATTTATTCAGCAACGTATGATCAAGCTTCTAGCCTCGGTTTTAAAAGAAGAAAATGAGGGGTAGAGAGAGATTTTAGAAAGAGAGATTTTTGAAAGAAACAGTTATATAAGCCAGGGAGAAGTTGACAACGAAAAACGCTATAAAAAGTAGGGAGAAGTTGACAACGAAAAACGCTATAAAAAGTAGGGAGAAGTTGACAACGAAAAACGCTATAAAAAGTAGGGAGAAGTTGACAACGAAAAACGCAAAAACGCTATAAAAAGTAGGGAGAAGTTGACAACGAAAAACGCTATAAAAAGTAGGGAGAAGTTGACAACGAAAAACGCTATAAAAAGTAGGGGGAAGTTGACAACGAAAAATGCTATAAAAAGTCTACGATAGCGTTTTTCGTAACCTATCGTATCCAATTTTCTTGTAGTGCAAGTTTGTTTTCATCCATTGTTGTGCCTTAGTTATGTGTATTTAATTAGTTGATAATCATAAGTTACCTTTAGTTCAATATAATTTAGAAAATATATAACCAACGATGAATAGAAACCGTATAATACATTATATTCCATGCTAATCTTTACTAATTAATTTTTCATTTTTAGTTTTTTTTTTTATATTTAATAATTAAAAAACTTTTACAAAAACAAAAGTTATCCACAATTTTTTTAATTTTTTTTATATAATAATTAAATTTAAGTAATTCATAAATGAATGGTACAATTTGTAAATTTAGGAATTAAAAAAAAGGCAACAAATAATAGTTTAAAATTATTTACTAATTTAAACACTTTTCAATTTTTATAACAATTATTTATTTGAGCCTTAGATTTGGCTAAACATGTTCTATTTGATATGGGTAGGAAAAGAACCCAACCCAGTATTATTAAAAAAAAAATAGAGAAATCAGAACTTAGTCAAGATGATACGGATCAACTCCTTCTTCTTCGTGTTAAATGATGCAAGCTAATTTAGGGAATGATCATGAGTTTATAATAAAGGAATACTATCTCCATTTGAGTGAGGCCGTTTGGGGAAGTCCAAAGTAAAACCATGAGAGCTTATGATCAAAGTTGACAATATCATACCATTGTGGAGAGTGGTGTTCTGATATAGCTGTCTGGACCTGGACCATTTATAGTTATTTTAGGTACTTGAATATTTTCCAACAGTTCTAGACCATTTATCATTATTGCTTCTGTAAACCTAGTAATTAAATAATCCCAATGTGTTACATAAGGTAGATATTGTATAATTGTTCGGTTTTCTGCAATTTTTTCCATCCCTCTGTGTAAATAATCAACCTTTTATTAAAAAAATTTAAACTAAACAACATTAGATGCAAGTATATGAACTTTTAAATAATTATCTTATATAAATAATAAGTTAAATGTCGATATGACATTAATATAAATACTAAGCCTATTTTGATTCTTTTAACTAGATCTATAATGCCAAAAATAATGAAAATCATTTAAGAACGAAAATATGCATGTCACATACTCATGAATTTTAAGCTTCATGCATAATCATCTTAAAACCAAGTAAAAAAATAATGTATCATAATACATTCCAACATCTTAAACTATACATCAAGTTTGCAAAATAAGTAAAAGAGAATGTCTAGAAAATTCCAAATTAATAACTAAAATGATGGGGAAGTACAAATAAAATGTGACTACGATCTTCTTTTTGTTCAGGTTATCTTGAGCAATAGACCCTTTTGTTCCGGTTATCTTGAGCAATTTCAATAATCGGGTTCATTAATATTCCTAGGAGATCTTAAAGGAGGGGTTATATCTTGGTTTCATGATTATTTTGAGATAATAGTAGAAAGAAACAATGCTCGTTAATGAAGTTTTATGAAAAAAGAGCCAAAAGAGGATCTTTTGTGTATAATCGTGCTTAATCTCGAATGTTATCAGTTTCCGTACGACCAAATGATACAATACAAGCAAAAGTTCTTAGATTCATGGTGATATAGAACACCATATAAGTTATCATGCTTGTATATCCACCATTTGAATCTCCAACAATTATTTCAATACTTACATATCCGATTTGACCGATGGACGAATATGCAAGTATAGGTTTCATGCTTGTTTGAGTAATAACAATGAGATTCCCCAATATTACATTAATAACCTTATATTTAATATGAAATTTTTAAAAATAGCTAGGATTTCCAGAAGAAGATGTCATTCGTGAGAAATAAAAAGGAATATCGAAAATTCGAGTGGTTGAAGCTGAAGCAGCTATTTTGAAGTAACATAAAGAAAAGCAACAACGAGGGTGGGAGAATCAGAGTCGAAAAGAGGATTCCTCACTTCTTTCTCTCATTGAAAATCGTGCATGAAACTTTCATCTCACACGGCTCCTAAGCTAAGTGATAAAAGAAAGATGAACTCATCTTCTTTCATTTTTTATTACCTTCATCACCTATGTATAAGATCGAATCCATTCAATTTCTAAAAAGAATTACAGTGCCCTTGCCTTTACCTTTTTAGTGGGGTTAGAAATGCATAGATTCATCATAAAATATTACAAAATCAACCGACCTAAAAATGTTAGGATTTATGTCCTAAAACTTAATAGTTATTTAATTTTTAAAATGAGAATCGTGCATAAAAAAAAATACAATGAAAATTTTCAATCGATTTTAAATCCTTCATGGTCAATACAAATATTCAATACACTTGTTTACAAATTATGACATCTTTAATGAAGTTTACCCATAGTCGACAATATGGATGTCCTAGGTCAGCATCCCTATGTGGCTACAAAGCTATTAAGCACACCCTTATCTTGACGCATAGTATCAATCACCTTAAAAAGGATATGTTGAAATGGGTGAGTATTAAAAATACTTATTAATTGGTCAAGTCCACAAAATAGTAGACATATTTAATTGGCTATAAGGGTCATTCTACTCATGCAAAACAAAGGACAAGGTATCATATAAGCCAGAGTTCATACTTACCCAAGATTAAAATTGAGTCGCATATAATCATGTGAAATATTATTTCCCTATGAACATTCATCTTCACTCACATGTCTCCCTATGAACAATTTGGATTAAATCACAAATGCGGTCATATAAATAGTGTCAGCAGGTTAAAGTACTCAACCTTATCCATATACTATAAATTCTTTAGGTTATTACTTGAACACGATACTCTTGTAGGTCAATCATATGCTATTCAATATTACATAATTTTTATGTAAGGGATAATATTAAATTGTGAATAAAATAATAAAAATTATTATTAAAAATTAAATAATTAATTACGAAATTTTAGGGCATAAATCCTAACTATGTGAGAGGTGGTTTTTCATTCAATTCTACCTTTGTTTGATTGCTTTTCGTCCCGATTTCAATGTTAAGCCTATTGTAACTTTAATTAGGTCCAACTAGAGAAAAGTTTCAGAAATTTGAAGCACCGAACAAGCATGGGGGAGGCACACATGACCAATTAAGCATTTACAATTTCCTTGAACAATACTTATACGGATCACTTGGATGTGCTAACATTCGAGAATAACCTGACATAGGTTAGATTATGCATGATTAGGGCATTAGGTAAGTCGTTTGTTGAGTATGCTATGTTTTTTGTGGCAAATTAATGCCCTTAGTATGAGATTTTTGAATTGCATGTTGTATGAGATATTTCTGCTGTGTATATACTTTGTTAGGTTGCTATGATTTATGCTTGAGGTGATTGATGGATGTTATCCTCATGTTGAGCTTACATGATTATTTTGAGAATATGATATATGCTACAAGGGATTGATGAATGTTTATATTGAGCTTGCATGTATACTTAGAGAAAGAGTTATTTATTCTAGGTGATTGATAGTGTTATCTCCTTAATAAAGCATGCCTAATTGTATTGAGTTAAGAGTAGGGCACTAGAGCTAGGAGGGTCTTACATTCACTTGGGTTAGAACATTTCCACATATCATGTTATGATTTTTACAACAAAGCGATCTACTCGAAACTTTGAGGTCTCCACATAAGTTTTAGGTATTTGTAGAACCTAGACCCGAACTATAGAGAAAAGCATGTGAAAACTTATTCAAATAAAGATGTGATATATTGTTAGGAGCGATACAAGTTATTAGCTCTAGTACCAATTGTTAGGATCGTTCAACAAAGCACACACTCGATGAAGATGAACACAAAGAATAGAAGAGAGAAAATACAAGGAAGAATATTGGCTAAAAGTTTTATCATTGATGACTTTAGGTATGTACAACAAGATAGAATACAGAAGAGAAGTGCATTTTGAGAGCACTGCTGGGGTATATATATGGTTTCAATTTAATAAATATAACTTCAAAAAATTTAAACCTAAGATATAATCTAACAAATATATCTGATCAAATATCTACCAAATATCTACCATATATCTACGATATATATCTCTATACATCATTACGAAATATCTTCCAAATATATCTCTATCAGATCTTTACGAAATATCTTTTAAATATATGTCTACCAAATCTAGGCATCAAGCTCCATATCCCAACAATCTCCCAGAGACTGATCCAGTCAACCTCAACAATCTCCCAATTAGAGACTGGTCTAGTCAACCCCAACAATCTCCCACTTAGAGACTAATCTAGTCAACCAAGAATTTCATTCTCAATCTGTACCATACCACTTGAGGTTTTGCACAACCTCAATGTTCCAACATCAACACAAAATATTTGATGGATTCCTTGCACCCTCTATCTTCTCCAAATACATCATCATCTTCCACTAACCTCTGAATGAAATGGTATCGCCTTCTGTGTTTTGTCTTTGAATGATAGACTGGGTTCCTAGTCAACTGCACGACACTCTAACTATCTACCTGAAGAATCTTCTCGCGCTGCTTCTTGCCTAATTCTTCTAGATAGTCTGTCATCCATATCATCTTCTTTCAAGCTTCAACTATTGCCACGTACTCAGGCTCAGCAGATGAAAGAGCAACGCATTTCTGAAGCCTAGACATCTCATCATCCATGGCTTGCTCTCACTTAGTTGTATTCTCCAACTGTAGGATCTCATCAAGGGGCTCTCGTTCTCCTTCATCAGTCACCAATCAATAGTGTAAAGAAAGTACATACCTATCTGGTACTTTGATGGCTCTAGAAGATCTTTTCAACACCTGCTCAGGTGTCACTTACTCCGCTTTTGGTTCTTCAGCAACAGTCTCCGGGGTTTCTTGAGCATCCGCTACAACATCACTAGGTGAATCTTTCAGCAACTCAACCTCAACTCCCACTTGCTTCATTGTCTCGGTATCTTTCTTCAATTCTCTGGCAGTCTTTGTGAAGCTAACTCGTTTCTGTTTACTCATAACGCATTTCTTACAAGGACTCACATCAATAGATTTCAAACTTTTCAAAACTACTTTCGCAACCAGCATCTTCATTCCTTTAACTCTAATATGTCCAAATCTATTATGCTACAGACTTGAATTCGAAGCACTCTCAGCAACTGCAGCTATGTTCATACACCCTGCACTAGTGTATAAGGTTCCAAATTTTGTGCCATGTGTTACCACCATAGCACTCTTCACAATTTTCCATGAACTCTTCCCAAACTTTGTTGCATAACCTGTGCTATCCAACTGACCAATAGAGATTAGGTTCTTCTTGAGACTGGAATATATCTGACATTCTTTAATGTCCACTGATTTCCTGCCAGAGCTTTTATGCAGACACCCCATTTTCTTCCATCTTCAAATGTTTGTTGTCGGCAAGATACACCTTCTCGAAATTTCCATGAAATTTCTAAATAACTCTTTATTTTGAGACAAAAGAAATGATGCACTTGAATCTAAAATCCAGGATTCAATCGGACTGTCCACGCTGAGGATTAAAGCATCCCCAATGTTTTCTACTGAATTTACCGAATCATCGTCATCTTCTGATTTGTGATTCTGCTTCCTCTTTGTACAATCTGCCCAAAAGTGACTTTTTTATCCACAACACCAACACCTTACGTTTGGTTTGTTTGGAGATTTTACTCGGTTCCTTGATTTTGATCGCCCATTGATTGGGCCCTTTGATTTACTTCTTCCCCTTCGATCAACAATGAGAGCATTGCCTGATGAATCTTCGACTTCCCGTTTACGAATACTTTCTCTAAGAACTACATCTCGAATTTCATCAAACTAATGTTTATTAGATCCTCGTGAACTGCTGATCGCGGCAACAACAGTATCCCATGACTCGGATAAAGATGACATCAAAATTAATGCTTTAATTTCATTCTCGAAATTAATTTCCACCGAACTCAGTTGACTTGTAATCATATTGAATTCGTTTATATGACCAGCAACAGATCCACCTTCAGACATTTGTAGATTAAACAGTCTCCTCATCAAATACACCTTGTTCATAGCCGATGATTTCTCGTAACATATTCAACGCCTTCAATAGATCTGACATTGTCTTCTCTTTGATGATGTTGAACGTCACGTTTCTGGAGAGCGTCAATCGGATCAACCCTAAAGCCTGACGATCCTTGAGCTTCCACTGCTCCATTGTTATACTATCTGGTTTCACCCCCAACAAGGGTTCATGAAGATCTTTCTGGTACAGACAATTTTCAATTTGCATCTTCCAGAAACTAAAATCGAATCCATCAAACTTTTCAATTCCAATCTTTGAACTTTTCATCTTTACAAATCGTGGTGAATTTCGCCTCTCTCTGATACTAGTTGTTAGGATCAATACCAGTTGTTAACTATGATACCAATTGTTAGGATTGCTCAACAATGCACACACTCATCAAGATTAAAAAAAAAAAACAGGAGAGAGAAAATACAAGAGGAAATATTTGCTAAATGTTTTATTATTGAAGACAGTACAACTAGAATATAAAGAATAAAGAGAAGTACAGATAATTGACTCTATATATATGTTTCAATTTACTAAATATAGCTTCCAAAGATTTAAACCTTGTATAATCTAACAAATATATCTTTATCTAATCTTTACCAAATATCTGCCATATATCTATTTTTTTATGAAATATCTTCCAAATATATCTATCTTTGCCAAATATCTTCCAAATACATCTCTACCAGATCTAGACATCATGCTCCATATCCCAAAAAGTAGGTTTATTACTGAGTAATTTTGTAGGTTTATTACGGAGTAATTTTATACTCATATGATTATATTTTTTTGGGTGATTGATTACTGCTAGTTGATCTAGGGTAGCGTTCGGGAGCTGTGCGGTCACAAAGAGATTGTTTGGAGGCGTCAACCCTTTCTGTAATTTGGGGTTTATTACATTGTTTAAATTTGTATTTCGTTTGTTGGTCCATGTTTATTAATGAACTTTGAACAACGCTATTTTGTAATTTGTTTTAAATTTCTTTTATAAATATGATGTTATTTGATTTTAAATTGCCCAAAATTTATTGTACTGTTATTCTTATCTTTTTCGTTACCGTCCAAGATTCAAAGTTTCAAAAATCGAACATGATATTTTAAATTGACCATTACATCTTGATTTTTAAATTTCCTTTTTAATTTGATTTTTAAATGCATGCAAAGATCATTGTAGTCCAATTATTAAAGATAAAGAAATATCTCGACATATGTACTCTATCTGTAACAACCCTAGATTTCTACTTAACTTAAAGTCGCTACTGTATACATATCATAAATGTTTTATGTAGAAAGATTTCATTCAAAACTTTATCATAAAACCATAACCTTGATCTTACATGTTTCTTAAAAGGCCTTTAAATAAAATAATAAAAACAGAAACTAACCTAAAGTAAAAATGCCTTATACTCACCTATATGCTACTAAATGGAAATGCAAACTAACCTGTAGTCTACTAAATTCATATTGCAAACTACCCTATGCATATGTCAGTCTCTTAGGTTGTGATGTCACCGTTAGCCATACAGGGTTGCTTTGTCTTTACGTGGAAAAATAAGAGTACCACATGACTTGAGTATTTTAAGAAATACTCACTAAGTGACCCCTATTGAGGTTTGATGCAAGCACATACAATCATGAGAGGGACCTATCATATCAGATGGCATCTTAAGCGGGTAATTTGATGTGTACTTACTATTCTACACACGGTCCGCACGTGCGAGTATGGACCACCAGTTGATTTGCACACCTCCTAGGCCCTTTTTTTGTGTGGCGAGCATTCTCTAATAGTTGTTGATGCCGGACACTCGTTAGGAATAACGACCATCATAGCAACATTATGGTGAACATAAAGATCATTTTCCTAATTTGTAATGTATGTGCCCGTACCATCATAAAAGGAGAAGGGATATCGTCCCCCAATGCATGAACACACAATGATGCCTAAGGTCCCAACATTTTTTCCTTTTATTATCATGTATAACAACTCTTTTAGCATTTTCCTTTATATCATATCATTTTATCATAACTTCTATGTATATGTTGGGGTTGTGCATTATGTCAATTCAATCGTATTTCCTGTCAATCATATTATATATCATTCGTGTCGAACATATGTTATATCATAAACTTATTATGTCTTCTAACGTATCAAATCATATCATGCACATATCATATCATAAATCATAAAACTCACATATCATAATACGAGCATGTCTTCAAACAAATCTTATAACATATCATATCGTAAACATATCATTTCATCGCATACATCACAACACTAACATATCATTTCATCGCATACATCACAACACTAACATATCATAACGTACACATATCATTTCATATCCGTTCAAATATATGAGCATATGACACATGCGAAGCCACGGAACGTGTTATCATACAACATACAATTATAACCAAACCGATAGTAACTCCACTTACTTGGTTGGCCTTAGCTAGTGCTTTCCTAAATTCGAGTACGTTTACTTTTCGTCCCTTGAAATTGCTCCAAGTATTGCTGGTTGTCATTTCCTATTAGAATGTCCATCTCATTTCGTTAGTGACTCAAATTTCTTAACTCAACATAACTTAAATCGAGGAATTGAACCTTATACTCACCTTAATTGCCTTAAACAAGGTCAATTTCAGCTTTGGGATTGTCAGAACAATGAAAAATGGGCAATTTCCCATTACCGAGCCGAGGGAGTGATTTATGAGCCGCGAAGCCAAGCCGAGACGGGTAAGCAGAAGGAATTTCTGGCTGCAGGTGCAAAACATGGCGCAACGAGGTACTGACACATGTATAGGTCGAGTCGTGTAGAGGCACGGGTTACTGCAAGCGGGTCACGTGTCATGAATTTAGGCTGCTGCAGGTTGCAGGAGGCTTTCGATTTACAGATCTCGGCCTCGTGTGCAGGCTTGAGCCGAATGGATATTTGGGTTGCAGCAAAAGTACATCCAAAACTAAGGTTATCGAGCTTACCGTGATGTATCCCGTACACTTGCCTTGTTCTTCCTCTGCTATAACGTCCCTTGCATTGTGTCCACGTGTGTCTTCGCTGGTTTACGCTCGTCGAAAAAATACAACTCTCTTCTTGTTTTCCCCTCCTTCTTCTTCCTTTGTTACTAATTCTTTTCTCGGTGGATCTGGAAGAATGGCAGAAGGTTGATTGTGTCGTGGAGGTCGGGGCGAGCGTAGTTTAGTTGGGATCTGAGAATCTCTTTTATCTTCCCACTTTCCAAATCAAGTCTTATCGTTTTGTTATTTAAAATTATTGAAATTCAAAATTACGTGGAGTTGGTTTGGATTTTGATTATTGGTTTATATTTATAATTAGACTAAATAATTCATTTACACTTTAATTATAGATTCTTAAATTTTATTAAGTATTTATACCAAATAAATTTAGACTTTAATTAGAATATATAAATATGCTTAATAATTCTTAAATTTTGAATTTATATTTAATAGTTCTTAGAATATAAATATGCTTAATGAAGAAAATGCCTACCAACATGAACTATTTTTTTTTTTAAATTTACTTCAAGATTGCTATCATTTTATTTTTTCTTCAAATTCTCGTCTACATCTGCCGGATGTAATTATTTGTCCAAAATTCACATCAAGCCCTGCTAATATAATGGTTATATTTATTGGATTGTGATAAATACTATTTATACTTAATTTTGGATCTAAAACACAAATTTTTCAAACTTAAAATTCTTAATTTCTAATTCAAATCTATATAATTGCAACAAAATTAATACTATTCTAGAGAATGAATCTAAAATATGTTTTCGACACCTTTATAAATAGGGTTTCGTTTTCCTCCCCAACCAATGTGGGACTCTCTCCGCCCTGAACCTTCGGGGCTCAGCTAACACTTGTTCCTTATTAGTCCCACAATCCATCCCTTTCAAGTCCAGAGTCCTCACTTGTTCCTTACTAGCCCCATATATGTTTTCATATACTTTGAGTGAATTACATTTCTAATACCTAAGATTTGGAGTTGGTATTTATTTGGTGACATAAGTTTGGAGATTTGAGGGGAAGTTTTGTTGGTTATGTATTTGTTATAAATGAATGGCATACAATTTTTGTTGTATTAGGGAACCAAATATATGGCCGAAAATAAGGGTATTGATCTAAATTTAGGTTTGGTAGAAGCTTATAAAAGAGTTGCTAAGCGCTTGAAACATTCATCCACTCGCAAAAAGAAGCATTGTAAAGGCACAAGAAAAGGCATAAAAAAAATGGCAAAGAAAATGATTGCAGTGTTGTTGGTGTGCATCGTGGTGATGGCTGCATTGCAGGTTTCGAGTGCCACTGAAAGCGTGAAGGAGGCCAAATATGAGGCTAAATTTGAAGCCAAGTATAGGTTATGCTACGAAAAGTGCGAGAAGGAATGCCTTGAGAAGGGCAATGGCCAAAGCTTCTGTGAAGTTAAGTGCGATGAAGATTGTGGTGAGAAAGAAGCCGCTGGTATGCTCTCTTCCTTTTTAAATCATTTTATTCTCATCATTTTTATTTTCTTTTAATAATTAATTCATTGATTTTGTATTTGTATTTGTTTCTCAGATAAGCTACACATCAAGGTGAAGAACTAAATAATGGAATGCAAAAGAAAGAGGTCCCTTCAGAAGGATCTCTAAGTAATAATTGTAATCAAGTTAAAGCTTGTAAGATGGAGTTTCATAAACCTTCTTTCTCCTCCATTTCTTGAGAATGTGATATGTGATGAATGTTACCACTTTTAAGAGTTTGTTCAGTTCAGCATGCATGGTTGTATTGAGTTAAGAGTAGAACTAAAACTATGATGATTTTATATAGTAGAACTAAAACTATGATGATGATTTTATATTGATCTGGGTTAGAACATTTTCTATAGACCGACTATCTTAGAATTGTAGGTCTCTATTATAGGTATAGACGGTAATGATCCCCAAAATCATAATAGGCCAAGAAACTAGTCGAGATAGTCTTAGAGGATGAGAGTCCAAAACTTGCTGCATAGATGTCCAAAAATCCTAATTACTTGCCCATGACCTAGGGATGAACAAGATTCACAATTACTTTCTAGTAGTGTCATTGTCGTATTCATATCGTTGAGCTTCACCAATTTCAAATAGGACGTCGCATTGAGGCAGTTATTATCGTGTGAAGAAATGGCTTAAGGGCCGAGGTGCTACTTCCTACATAGGTAATTTAGCTCAAAGGGTTGTGCGCCAGATAATTTGTGCCGTCACAAAGAGGATGTCCCTTTTGTAATTTGGCAAGGGCCGAGGTGGACTTATCTTTTGAAGAAATGGCTTAAGGGTCAAGGTGGGACTTCGTAAACCCATCTTGAAAGGGAATGAGGGACTACATTGGTAACTTACCTCAAATGGTTGTGCGCCAGATAATTTTGTGCCGTCACAAAGAGGATGACCCTTTTGTAATGAACTTTAAATAACCTTATTAAAACACTCCAGGCGGAAATATACTTCATTTAAACTTCTTAAAACATAATCTTCATCATTTAAATTAAAAACATTATATTCTACATCGCATGTGTCATGGTCTCAAGTTGTGATGTCGTCATTAGTGATTTGCTTGATTTGTCCCTCGAAGTTTGTAACGACCTACACGGAGGTAATGTACCAAAATTATGCAAATACTAATTTGTTAAGAATCAATCGGATTGAAGCTATAGCATCATCATTCGCTGGAATCGAAATATCTGCGAGATTCGGGTCACAATTTGTATCAATTAAACAAATAGTTGGAATTCCCAACGTGATACATTCTTAAAGAGCCCGATATTCTTCTTGTTGATCAATGATTATTACAATATTGGGTAACCCCGTCATATATTTAATCCCGCCTAGATATGTTTGCAAGTGAGATAATTGTCTCTTCAACATGAGTGTGAGTATTACAATATCGGGTAACCCCGTCATATATTTAATCCCGCCCAGATATGTTTGCAAGTGAGATAATTGTCTCTTCAACATGAGTGTGCGAGGGTTTTATTTTATGGTAGTTTGTGCTCGTTGGAGGGAGTTTTAAGCAAGTTTAAAATAGAATTTTAAGCAAGCTGGACTCTACTATCTCATTTTAAAACGGACCTCACGGTTTTCAAATATGAACTAAATGTCCAAATTCTCTACCGTATATATTGTCTATTTTGGTCCATTACGTGAGGTTTTCACACACTTAAAAAAAATATGTACTTGTAAAACTTATTTAAAAAAAAAAAAAAAGTACTCAAATTAAATTATATCAAATGATATTTAAACAAAAAAATATATATCATGAAATAAATTAATTACTTTCTTATAATTTAAGACTAAAGCAATAAATATTCAAAAAAATGTTATAAGGGAAAGATAACACATCATTTTAGCTATATTAATATATTATATCTTAGTTTCAATATTTGTTATTAATTTTAAATTTTAGAGGAAAAAACTTAAATTAGTTACTAAATATATTTTTATAAAAAAAAAAAAAAAAAAAAATCAATAAGGGTTGCCCAACTTATTACTCTTTATTCAACTTCAAATATTGGTGTATATTTTCATTTGTTCATGAATAAGTCAAGAATAAAATAAATTAATAATAAAGGTTAATCCATTTATGAACAAATTCATCACTTTTAGTTGAATTGTTTCTCAAGTAAGTTTCATCATCTTTAGCTTCTCCAATACAAGTTTCTACATTTTGATCTCGACATCTATCACGAAGCCATGTGTGGTCCTTCTCATGCCAAAAGCATTCGAAAGAGACGTATGCATCTGGCTTGTCCACTTTACACTAGAAGGTTGTTCTCCAAAAGTTAATCTTAAAGCCAAAATGGCAATCATCTCCCCAAATAGGCAAATGATAGATTTCCAAATCATTGTCCTTCGACTGGCAGTGCACCCACGGTCACGAGCAACAAAGCAGCCACATTCCTTATCATCTTCTGAACCAAATTTTTGTTGGGTCTATCTATTAATGTTGGACATGAGATAAATATATAGACAAAAAAAAAAAAAAAAAAAAAAAAAATCCATGTGCCAAATATTTTCATATTAATAATGTTGTTCCAACAATGTGACGAAAAAAAGAAACGAGAATGATACTTTCATTTACACGATTGAGTTCATAATATTGATCTAGGTTAGGTTATGGACCAATAAAAAAATAATTTTTATATTCAAAACCCATTAGAAAGTAGGGAGAGTAGAAATCATACATAAATGATAAACTCGAATGCCCTAAAAATGCTACGAGGTGTTCGAAAATGGTTGAAGCTAGTTGAATAGGAGGATCACTATGACTATAGCAGTTGGTAAATTTACCAAAGACGAAAATGATTTATTCAATATTAGGATGACCGGTGGAGGGATCGTTTCATTTTTGTAGGTTGGACTAGTCTATTGCTCTTTCCTTGTGCCTAGTTTGCTATAGGAGGTTGGTTTACAGGTACAACATTTGTAACTTCATGGTATACCCATAGATTGACAAGTTCCTATTTGGAAGGATGCAACTTCTTAACTTTCAGACTCCGCTAATAGTTTAGCACACTTTTTGTTGTTAGTATGGGGTCCTGAAGCACAAGGAGATTTTACTCGTTGGTGTCACTTAGGTGGTCTATGGACTTTTATTGCTCTCCACGGTGCTTTCGGACTAATAAGTTTCATGTTACGTCAATTTGAACTTTTGTTCAATTGCGACCTTATAATGCAATTGCATTCTCGGGCCCAATTGTTGTTTTTGTTTCTGTATTCCTGATTTATCCACTAGGTCAATCTGGTTCTTATAATGAAATCGCATTCTAGGGCCCAATTGCTGTTTTTGTTTCTATATTCCTGATTTATCCACTAGGTCAATCTGGTTCTTATAATGCAATCTCATTCTCGGGCCCAATTGCTGTTTTTGTTTCTATATTCCTGATTTATCCACTAGGTCAATCTGGTTGGTTCTTTGCGCCTAGTTTTGGTGTATATCCACGTACTCAGAGTTGCTATTAACGTCTCTTAAAGAAATGAGTTAGAAAATTAACTTATCTCTAACGACCCTAAATTTTCATGTACTAAGAGTTGCTACTAACGTCTCATACTCTACTAAAATACAAAATATAACTTTTAAAAGAAAATTTCATCGTATAAATGTTGAAAATATTTAAAACATCATTTTCCTTAAATACTCTTAAAAGAAAACTTCATAGTATAAACGTCGAAAATATTTAAAACATCTATCTTCTTTAAATATGAAATACTAAAATTTAGAGAAATTAAAAACAAATACAAAATAATTTAAAACAATTAAATTTAAAACAACCTATTCTAACCTAAGACTATAAATTTAAATACGATTTTACCCTATGCACGTACTGTTCGCGATGCCGCTGTCCTCCGTACATGTGCCTTTACCTGAAAAATGATGTGAAATGATGTGGCACACGACTTGAGTATTTCAAAGAATACTTAGTAAGTGACCCCACCGTACGGGGCCACGCAAATGCAAACACATGCAATCATGCTCTTGGGACCTATCTCTATTGTCATTACCCCTATCAGTCTCGGACAACTATGGATGTTTAATACTTCCCTACACATGACCACACATGCGAGTGTGAGTCCCCAGGTGGACTCGCACAACCCCTGAACCCTCTCTGGTCACTAATCTGTAGCAACGTCCGGTCAGTGGAACCCCTTGGTGTCTGCACTCATTATTTCTAGGGGAAGTAGCCCTATGCTAATGAACATACAACCCTCTAGTCTCATCTCTTCATTGCATTTCGTGGATATTTATATTAATATCATTTTCTTGCTCTTAGGGTTGTGTCCTAGGTCGATCGAAATGATGTCATATGGCACTCATTATCATATAGCATGCTCAATATGGAAAACGTCATCATATTAAGCAAAACGTCATGCAAACATCATACTCATCATAAAGCAATCACGTGCATCAAACATAATATGTACGTCATGCATCATAATACGCACATCATCATGCATCATAACTCACATCATAATATATATAGGCACATCATCATGCATCATAACTCATTCATCATCATATACTAGTATACAACTGATGATGTTAATATAACACATGCGGAAGCAATTTTGATCTTGGACACTTTTAGAACATCAATTATAGTAAATAACTAGCATGTTCATAAGTATTAAAACTTAATGAGTTTGAATACTAACCTTTTGTAGTTCAAATTCATTTTTCCTCACGAACCGGTTTCGAACCACCACTAGTGTCTTCTCCACTATCCTCCAGCCTTAGAACGGGATTGTGGAATCCGTTGAGTGACTAAACTTGGGAGGGATTTTGTCTATATGAAGAGAGGGTTTGTGAGAGGTTTTTCTCAAGGTTTTTCACCCAGAAGAAAACCTTTCATGTATTATGATCACTCTATTTATAGAGTAATGTTTGCATGTTCATGCAAATTTGAGATCACAAAATTTTGACACTCAAAATTCTACTAAAATGTTTGGGATTATGTGGCAAGCATGCATGCTTAAGTTAACCAAATTTTGACACTCAAAATTCCACTTAAATTTGTGGGGTTTATTTGGCAAGCATGCACGTTTGGTTAAACCAAATTTTGACACCTCAAAATTCCACTAACATGGGTTTTCCATTAAATGAAGTCAACATTTTGACTTTCTTCATTTT